TCAAATTGAGCCACAAAGTTTTTTTTTCAAGATATACCTGCAGTCTTTCCTCATCTTGTTCACCAAACAGTGCTTTAGCTTTCTCAAGATCCCTAAGTATCACCCGTGACTTAATATTCCGCTGAAGCAGTGACGCTAGAACTAGCTGCCCTGAATATTGAGTAAGCCAAGTCTATTAATTCACAAACTACCCCAATCAAAACTAGTGACGCTGAAGCATCGACTTATGTATGCACTTCCATATCAAACAATTCTAATCAAAATGCATAAAATAACACTAGAAAATCATTCCGAATTTGGCATACATATTCACAAATCACAAGGACATATTACCTACAATTAATGTTACCACAATTCATCAACAATATCAAGTTGACCCTATGTTAGAGCAACTAGTATAACTCATAAGTCATTGGATCGTAACCAGACTCTAATACCATATGAAAGTAAACAATGAGAGAAACACTTCACATTGATCTCAACCTCAACTGAATGAATTGAATACAAGAGCAAAAAGGAGAATTAAAACTAACAAACTGAAACAGAAATCTAACTAACTATAACTGATTTCTAACTTCTAACTGATATAACTGATCTAACCCAAAGTCAATTCAATAAACAAGAATTGCCAAATTCAGCAACCACTAAGTATTTGATTTCAGTAAATATTTTATACTATCAAATTTGAATTCCAAAAATAAGTGAAACAGAGAAAAAGAATGAATAAATGTTTACCTACACCTCCTGAGGCACCAAGAACAAGAACCAGTTTGGAGGATGATGATGAGGGAGTGTTTTGGTCATTTTGTGTGAGAGGTTTTTGCGAGTCGGTAGAAACAGCTTTTGCGTAAACGCGCTTATAATTAGAAGTTCGTTTGGAAGAAGAAGGAAGGGAGATTGAGAAATTAGGGAGTTTGGTGAAGAGAAGTTGAGGATTAGAAGAAAGAGAGTGGAATTGAAGGAAAGCAGAAGCAGCAGTTGTAGAAGCCATTAATTCAACAAGTTTTCAAAGGACAACAAACAAAAACTGTATTTTATACTCAACTCCAACCTCAATTAGGCACCACCAGTTTTTTTCTTTAGTTTTTTCATTAATAAATAAATAGATAATTCTTAATTTACAAGTCATTTTTGTAAATGATAAATTGATAAAGAAAAACAATTATTTTATTTTATTTTAGTAACACATTTTCTAACAAAAGGCATAGAAAAAAAATACTAAACAAAAGTCTAATAGAGATTGAATCTTTGATAGTTAGAACGGAGTCAACTATGCCTTGAATTGGAAGAACATATTTAAATATGGAGCGATTATCTTTCTTGCTTGTCTTTAATTTTGATTTCAGATGATTACCACGAGCCATCATTTGAGAATTGTAATGGTTATGAACTTTGTCTCGAACCTCATATGTATGTTTGCATGAAAATATAAGTGGTAGAACAACTTCACAGATCTTGGAAAGAAGCCATGTAAATAATTATTGATCTTGAACAATTCACACTTCATAGTTTTCAGACACGATATTTGCAATTCTATAATTATCTATTTTGAACATAAGAGGAATTCAAGAGTTATTTGCAATTCTATAATTATCTATTTTGAACATAAGAGGAATTCAAGAATTAATTACCACTGCATGCGCGTGAGAGAGAGAGTTGTGTGTGCGTGCGAGAGAGAGAGAATTACTCCCATAACAAGAGGTTATTTTCTTGAACACCATTTATGACTTGTTCTTCTAATATAACTTCATATATCATATTATAATTTTCTGAATCAGATTGAAAAGTTATATGTTTTGAGTGGTCCTGTGTAAAAGTTTAAAGTTAACTTCATTTAAGTTGTTAGTTATTTCTAAGAGGCCTTATTTAACAGTGAATGATGTGTATGGAGACCCTTTTTGTTATATTTTAATTATGAAAAAATGTGAGATCTTGTGCTGTAGGTCGCCTTGCAGGAGACCTTTTTGTTATATTTTAATTATGAAAAAATGTGAGACCTTGTGCTGTAGGTCGCCTTGCAGACCCTCAAAGAGGGCTCTGATAAACATTCCACATAAGTTATAATAAACTCAACTAAAAATATCACCACAACCGTAATCAAGGACCATTAGAAACGTGCTGAAATGTGTTAAATATGAAGAAAAAATGCAGACACTTGGAATCGAACACATAACCTCAACTTTTTACTATATAAACAACCGTAGTGGTATGTTATAAACTACTGTCTTTTTACCACAACTATTAGTCTGTGGTTGTAAAGAGAGCACATACAATCACATGCTACCTTACTACAGACCACTGTGGTTTTAACAATTGATGTTTCTTTGAAGCTAAATGTATATCTGAATTAATACCCACATACACTAATTAAGAAGCTTAAATCTTCACTAATGATAAAAATGATGATGATGTAGCGAAATAAAGGTATTTTTAAAGATGATACCATATTAAAGGAGAATTCATGCATTGAAGAAGATAATGAATCTCATTAAAGAAAGCAAGATCTTCTTGCATTTATTCTATTTTCATTATATTGAAAGAGAACATGATATATATATATATATATATATATATATATATATATATATATATATATATATATATATATATATATATATATATATATATATATATATATATATATATATATATATATATATATATATATATATATATATATATATATATATATATATATATATATATATATATATATATATATATATATATATATATATATATATATATATATATATATATATATATATATATATATATATATATATATAAAAGTTAGCTTGAATACTTAGTTATATGTTTTTAACAATCTTCTAATTTTTCTAACTTTCTAACAATCTTTTCAAATTAGCATAACTATAATTTTGGTTGAGACTTTCTCTAATACAACAGAAGACATCTTCTAATTTACATAGATGACGTTAAGCTCTTTGCAAATTGCAATTATCATTGAACATGTACTTTTTTTTTTTTACTATAAACAAATTTAAAGACAATTTATTTACATTTAGTTGAGGATAACATTTGTTCAAGACAAAAACAAAAAAGAATATTAGAGAGACCAATTTTTAATATAAATATATTTTATAAGATTTAAGATTCAATGATAAAAACAAAAAGTTGTATATCTACAATAAAATAACATTGATCAAGAACATAAAGTTGTATATTATTAAATCAGTGAGCTGGATCAAAAAATATGATTAAATCAGAACAAAAAGTAACACATCAATGCACAAGTCTGATGGTACTCAATCTGCATACCATCACCTTCGGAATCTACAACCCACATTAGGTGTTCTTTATAAAAGCTTTTCTTTAAAATTAAATCTTGCATGAACCACTTTTGTCTCGGATACCTCCTGTGCGACCTTAGTTGGGTCACCCCCAAACGGGTAACCATCATATCCATGACTTCCTCTCTATCAAGCCTTTCATGACTCAGTAATTTTTCCCTGATGGGAAGATGCAGAAGACATGAGATGTCATCCAAGGTGATGATCATCTCTTCTATAGGAATGTGAAAAGACGAACTGAATATCACCTCTCTTCAAAAGCTACTTGCATGCCGTGAGATATGCTCATGTATGCATTCCACATAAGCTGCAATAAACTCAACTAAAAATAATACCACAACTGTAATCAAGGATCATGGTGATATGTTGTGTGTTAAGCTTTCACTACGGTTGGTTTTTAGAACCGTGCTGAAATGTGTTAAATACGAAGAAAAAAAATGCAGACATTAGTGGTATGTTACACGCTACTATTTTTTTACCATAACTATTAGTCTGTGTTTTTACCATAGCTATTAGTATGTGACTGTCCAGAGAGCACATACAACCACTTACTATCTTATTATAGACCACTGTCCGTAGTAAAAAATTTCTTCAAACCATTGTTATATGTTTTATTCGTAATAGTGTGATGAAGCAATTTGGAATGAGTTGGAGACATGTTACGAATTAAGCAAAAAAGCTTATAATTCAACAATTGATGTTTCTTTGAAGTTAACTGTAGAACTGGAATGATACCCATACACACTAACTTAGAAGAAGCTTCTTTGAAGCCTAAATCTTCACTAATGATAAAAATGGTGATGATGTGGTGGAACAAAGGTCTTTTCTTAGATGATACCATATTAAATGAGAATTCACGTGGGGAAGAAGATAACGAATCTCATTAAAGAAAATGATCAAACAAGATCTTCTTGCATTTATTCTATTTTCATTACATTGAAAGAGAACACGATATATATATATATATATATATATATATATATATATATAAATATATATATATATATATATATATATATATATATATATATATATATATATATATATATATATATATATATATATATATATATATATATATATATATATATATATATATATATATATATATATATATATATATATATATATATATATATATATATATATATATATAAAAACTCCTAACTAATTTTTCTAACTTTCTAACAATCTTTTCAAATTAGCATAACTGTGATTTTGATTGAAACTTTCTCTAATGCATCAGAAGGCATCTTCTAGTTTATAGACGGCGTTAAGCTCTTCGCAAATTGAAAAAAACAAAAAGGTGTATATCTACAATAAAACAACATTGATCAAGAACAAAAAGTTGTATATCATTAAATCAGTGATCTGGATCAAAAAAATATCATTAAATCAGTACATATATTTACATACACTAATCTAAACCCTTAATCGTCGTTTTCAAGTATCATTAGAATCTCTACTCAATAACATATATATACCTCCATTCATGTTAATGTTGACTCTTTCCTAATTGGCTTATCATGGAGTCACTCATCTAATTTATCATCACTATGATCTAATTATCTTACATCATGTATGCATCAATTCACCTAAATGTACATCCTCAACATGCATATCACCATGCATGCATGCATACAATCCATTAAAACTTTTTTATAATGGAATTTCACTTTCTCTAAACTAGTGTTCAACCGTTACCAACGTTGGTATTTCTTGTTCTTTCTTAGACTCATGATGATCACCAACAACATTTTCATTGTTGTGATTTTCTTCACCGCCGCCGCTTCCATTTCTCATCTCCACAACCGCGCCGAATTGGACGCGACCCTCTCCATCACCGTCCATAAGAGAATCACCACCGGCGGTTTTCGCACCGGTAGGGCTGGTTGTTTGTGGAGATTTTGGTGTCCAAATTGCAGCACTTTTACCAGGATTGTTATTATTACGGTGTTCTTGAACATTAATAGGTCTAATGCATCTATATATAAATATTATAAACCAAGAGAGCCATGGAATTGCAACCAATGTCATGCCTACATAGAGATACCATGATACAACTTCTGAATCTGGGAGGAATATGTACATGCAGAGGAAGATTCCTCCTCCAATTGTGCATGCAAAGAAAAAACAAGAGATGACATATATTCTAAGATCTCCTTTTCTATCTCCCATTGAAGAGGAAGGTCACACTATAAATGAATATCAATATATAATAATGATATCACTTTTTTTTGTTGTTGCAAAGGTTTTGCAAAAGCTCAATGGTTTGTTTGTTGAGAAACAATTATTAGACAGTTTCAAAGAAGGGGACACATTGAAGCGTTTAAATCGGAAGATGGTTTGTTTGTTGGTCAAGCAATTACTATTACGTTTGAGGTTTTTTTCTATATTTTATTTTATATAAAAATAAAATTAAAATGTAAAATCATCATATAACACATGAGAATCAAAACATCAAACTATGTTATAGTCTTTAGTTATCATGTCATTGACAAGTAGGAAATTCTTTGGTACTCGGGAATTTAAGTTAGATATAGATATTTTTAGTGCAAATTCTTTCAAAATTTTCATTTATTTTAAAATAATTAAAAAAAAAATGTTGTGGTATTGAATTATACTTTTTGATTGGTTGAGAGTATTATATCCGATCAAAGGCATAGAAGTGTTCACCTTAAAAGTATTATTATAAGTAAAAAAATAAGAGAAATGCTCATTAGATCTTTATAATAGATGACATAAAAAAAAAGTTAGTTACATAGTTAGTTAGATTCTGTTATGCTGTTAGCTTTTTCTCTTCCAACTATAGTTGATGTAACCTTCGTTCAATAGACAAGAGAGGATTGCTTTGCATTTTATCTTCTCCTTCTTCTCTTTAAGCTTTCTTGCCATTCTTCAATGGCTTCCATATGTGAAGCATAATATGGTATCATCGTCTTCGATTCTTTTTCCACACTTTCGCACCCTTTCTTTTCTCTCTTCCACTCGTATAATCTCTCCACTTGTGTGATTTTTCCTTCGATTTCAGCATGCCTTCGCGTAATGATCCTACTGCAAATCGAATCACTAATTGTGATGTTGATTCGGTTTATTACATTCATCCTAGCTAAGATCCCAATTTTGTTAGCATTCAACCTCAATTGAATGGTTCGAACTACATTTCGTGGTCAAGATCCATGAAAAAAGCTCTTGGAGCTAAGAACAAGATTGCGTTCATCAACGGATCCATTTGCGTTTCAAGTATCAATGATCTTAATCGATCTGCGTGGGAACGATGCAACTGTCTTGTTCACTCATGGATTCTCAACTCTTTAAGTCCTGCTATCGCACAAACCATTATTTTCTTGGAAAATACTCTTGATGTTTGGATTGATCTCAAAGAAAGATTTGCTAAAACTGATAGAATTCGCGTATCTAATTTGCGTGCTGAAATTAACAATCTCAAACAAGGAAACAAATTTGTTCTTGATTATTTCACTGAGTTTCGTGGACTATGGGAAGAATTGAATTCTCATAGACCAATCCCTACCTGTACTTGTGCCCAACAATGCAGATGTGATGCTATGCGTAGTGCTAGATAATTTCGTCTTGAAGATCACTATTGAATGAAAAAATTTATGTTATCAAAACTCAGGTTTTGTTACTTGATCCTTTACCATCCATCAACAAAGTGTACTCTATGGTTGTCCAAGAAGAGAGTAACAACATCTCTTTGTTGAGTCAACCTGATTCTAATTCTACTATTAATGAAGCCAATAGCCTTGTTAATGCATATGATTCAAGGAAGTTTGTTGGTAAACCTTCCAACTCTTATGGTGGAGCATCTAACAATAAGAAAGATGGTAGAGTATGCACTTTTTGTCACAGGACTGACCATACAATTGATGTCAGTTATCGCAAACATGGATTTCCTCCTAATTTTACCAAAAAGCAAGCATCAGCAAATGCTTCTAATGTTGTTGATACACAAGCTGTGATGAACACTGGATCAGAAGGTTCTCTCAATAATTCAAGTGCCATCATCACTAAAGAACAATATGCTCAATTGATTGGTTTGTTACAACAAACAAATTTGCTGCCTTCTAACCCTACCCCAAATCCAACTGCCAACCTATTTCCACTCATCTTGGTCATACACCAAATGAGAATTCAGGTAAAATTTTTGTTTCTACAGTTTCTTGCTCCACTTACATAAAACCTGATTTTTGGATTTTAGGTTCTAGTGCCAATGACCATGTTTGCTCATCTCTTAAATTGTTCAGTTGTTACCACAAAATTCATCCTGTCAATGTTTGTCTACCTAATGGATCTGTTGTTCTAGCTAAACATGCAGGAACAATTCAGTTTTCTCCTCACTTGCAGCTTAATATTGTGTTATATACACCTGATTTTTCCTTAAACCTTGTGTCTGTTTCCAAACTTTGTCAATCCACTAATTGCAATTTCATTTTTTCTGCTAATGATTGCTTTATTCAGGATGTGAAAACGAAGAAGATGATTGGTTTGGCTAATCAAGTGGAAGGGTTGTACAGACTCAGGACAGATATTAATTCCTTTTCTGCAGAAACTAACATTTCAAGTATTTCCTCATCCAAACCACATGTAGAAACTTCAATTCCCAATAATTGTAAAATGATCCCAAAACAAGCTTTGTGGCATTTTAGATTGGGCCATTTATCACATGATAGACTTTCCAAAATGGCTCAAATGTATCCTGATATTTTTAATGACAATAAAGTTGTCTGTGATGTGTGTCACTATGCTAGACATAAGAAACTACCTTACACTTTGAGCCATTCTAAAGCTTCTCAAAATTTTGAATTGTTGCATTTTGATATATGGGGTCCTATCTCCACAAATTCTATCCATCATCACAAATATTTTTTGACAATAGTTGATGATCACAGTCGATTTACTTGGATCATACTATTTAAAAAAAAAACTGAAGTTTCTACACATGTTCAACAATTTGTTGCTCTTATAGAAAATCAGTTCCGTACATGTCCTAAGTTCATCAGGTCTGACAATGGACCTGAATTTTTCTTAGCTCAACTCTATGCTTCAAAGGGTACTATCCATCAAAGATCCTGTGTTGAGTCCCCTCAACAAAATGCAAGGGTTGAAAGGAAGCATCAACACTTGCTTAATGCAGGTGAGCCTTACTGTACCATTCAAATTTACCTAAATCTTACTGGTCCTATGTTATTAGCTATAGAGCCTTCATTATAAATAGAGTTAACACTCTTTTACTCAATAACCAATCCCCTTATCACATACTGCATAGTAAACCACCAGACATTAACCAACTTAAAGTCTTTGGCTCTTTGTGCTATGCATCTACCTTGTCTAATCAAAGAACTAAATTAGATACAAGATCTAGAAAATCATTGTTTCTTGGATATGTTGTTGGATATAAAGGCTCTATTCTACTTGATCTAAATTCATTCAAAATTTTCATTTCAAGAAATGTCACTTACCATGAACAGATTTTACCTTACCAACAACAATCTTCATCTACCACAACTCCTTGAGAATATTATAGTACCTCAGTTCCCAATAGCACTTTAGTTTCAAATCCCTGTCATGACATACATTATTCTGCTCAATATGATCTTCCCATTAACCAAATCAACCATCCAGTTACCACAACTTTATCTACACCCACCACAACTGACTCAAATCAACCTTCCAGCTCCCTTTCCAATTCTAATCCACCCACCACTGATAGACATCATTCCACTCGTGCCTCTACAAGAGTCAGATCCTCACCAGCCTTTTTAAAAGATTATGTATGTACAACCTTCACTGATCCACAATGCCAATCATCTTCAAGTAATCCTCACTCTTTTTCCAATTTTATTTCACACCATAATTTGTCTCCTGCTCATTATCGTTCCACTCTGTCCCTTAATATTAATCATGAACCTAAAACATACTCCGAGGCTAGCAAATTTGAATGTTGGAATCAGGCCATGAAAATTGAACTTGCTCCACTTGAGCAAACTGGAACTTGGAAAATTGTGGATCTTCCTCCCCATGTCAAACCTATTGGTTGTCGTTGGGTTTACAAGATTAAGCACAAATCTGATGGAACCATAGAAAGATTTAAAGCTCATCTTGTTGCTAAAGGATACAACCAGATTGAAGGACTTGATTACTCAGATACTTTCTCACCTGTTGCAAAGCTCACCATAGTTCGCTTGGTTCTGGCCTTAACTTCAATCCATAACTGGCATCTTCACCAACTCGATGTGAATAACGCATTTCTTCATGGTGATCTGAATGAAGATGTTTACATGTTGATCCCACCAGGTGTCCAAACTTCCAAACCTAACCAGGTCTGTAAACTCATTTTAAGTCACTTTATGGACTAAAGCAGGCAAGCCGACAATGGTTTGATAAATTGACTTCAATCCTCACTGCTCATGGCTATTCTCAAGCACCTTCTGATCACTCACTCTTTGTTAAACAAACATCATTCACCTTTACAATTTTACTTGTTTATGTTGATGATGTTATTTTAGCAGGTAACTCTTGTCGCTACTGCGAAAAAAGGTGCCGACAATGACAGAAGAGTCGCCACCTTTTGTTATTTATCCCAAAGAGAGGGAAAGGAAACGATCGGAAAAACCTAACGAAAAGGGAAAAGACAAGGTCATCGTAACCAAGTCCTGGATTCGGGAGTCAGTTACGCAAGGGGAAGGCATGGGCACCCCTCACGTCCGTCATAGCGCACAACGTTCATCGCATTTATTAGATGAGTTAGAATTGTTTTGAGATGAGAAGAAGAGAGATGCACGGAAGGTCTAAGGGAAACTCGGCCCTAACGTTGTCATGCAAAATGGTCCTAAGGTTAGGATTGAAAGGGGAAATATCTACCCTAATGTTAGCATGCATGGTTTGAGTCCTAATGTCTATCATAACCAACCTTAAACAAGGAAGGTTAGATCCTAGGGGAACATGGCAAAGGAAGACAAAGGAAGAAGAAAGATCAAACACAAATGAGAGTGAAAATAGGGATGCAAACATGGATGCAACACACAAGTAAAGGGAGGAACAAAGTGTGGGGTAAGCACCGCCACAAGCACATCTCGACCTTTATTAATGCAATAAATAAAGATGCAAAACACAAGAGGAAATGCAAATGCAAGAAGGCAAGCAAACATGAATATGCAAGCACAAAAGATGAACATCACTTTGAACGACAAACTACGAAAGTAGGCATCAAAGTGGAAATCGAACGCGCGTGTCGAATAAGTAATGATTAAACAATCAAGAACAATGACATATATCCAAACATTTCACTCCTCATGCATCATACTGATCCATGAAGATTCAAAGTGAAACGATACCAAAACGACCTTGAAAAATAGCAAAACAGGCTTGCTGACACAGTGTTAATCGATTAACACCAGGGGTTAATCGATTAATCACTTAAAAATGATGAAAAATTTGAATATTTGCATTGGTTAATCGATTAACCAATTGGTTAACCGATTAACACTGTTCCAGAGGCGAAAAACAGCAGAAAACAGCAGTTCAGAAACACTTTTCAGCAACTTATCCAATGTGTAATCATTCTAATGATCATATAATCAATTATGCACGAAATTAAACCATAAACCAGTGATCTAATGGTCATGTAAACACATTTAAATAACAAGATAACAAATCAAATGGATCAAATCAACCAAAAGTCAATCAAAGATGAAAATCTACATGATCATGCAAAATAAGTTCGAAACAACAATAGATCTAGGATTCCAACCTTCGAAGCGGAGATTTGCTTCGGTAATTGTTGATTCAACTCCGATTGAAAAGATCCAAGCGAGAAATCCGGAAAACTTCAAGATCCAACTGAATTCTTGTAGTAAAAATGATGATCAAACAAAATCAAACCAAATTACTCCAAATAAGCACTTCCAACACCACTTCAAAATTCAGATCCAAATTTGCATGAAAATTGAATGAGGAAATTGATCCAATGAAGATGATGGATGAAGGTTCTAGCTCAAGAATTCATTGATTCCAATGTAGAATCAAAGAATTCTAATGGATGAAGAGCTTTGGTGAAGGTTTGGGAATGGAGAAATTGAGAGAGAATGAGATCAATTCTGAAAATGAAATTGAAATTATGAGAGTTAGATGTGTGAGGTTTGGAGTAAATCACTTAAATACTCCTTAGGCTTGGATCCAAATGAGAGGTTTGGAAAATTTGGTTTGGAATGAGGAATGGGAGTTTGGAGGGAAAATGAGATTAACCAAAATTCAAGATGATTCTAGATCATTCCAAGGTGTAAAACAGAACTTTCAAGTGATCAAAATTGGACCCCAAAGTGGTTTTTCTTCACAATTCACGTACAGAGGCAAAAATTGCACTGGTTAATCGATTAACCATATGTGTTAATCGATTAACACCTTTAAATATTTGAATTTGACTTGTTTTTTTACTTGGTTAATCGGTTAACCATTTGGTTAATCGATTAACACCTTCAAATTTTTGAATTTGGCGCCTTTTGGAGGGAAATCTGCACATTTGCCCGTTTTCAGCCGTTCTGAGCTCTGTTCAGCTTCTGAAACTTGTTCTTAAATACTACCGCTGTGAGAATGCTTGATATAGCCCGAATGTTGCTTCCTGAGCTAAAAATACCCTGCAAAATAAAAATAAAATCGGTCGTCCGACTGCTGGGCAAAATAAATGCCAGGGACTCTGATGCTTGCTATTCAGGTTCATGCACTGAGATGAAAACTGAGCCACAGGAAAACCTTGATCCCCTGTCTCAAGGACGAATGTTATGCAAATGCAGAAATGCGAAAATGCAAAGAAACAAAAGGCAGATGCTACTAAAACGGAAAGACAAATTTTGGGGTGCTACAACTCTCTACAAGAGTTTCAAACTATGAAAAATATTCTTCATCAGCTCTTCAAGATCAAGGACTTAGGCATTCTAAAATATTTTTTGGGTTTAGAAGTAGCTCACTCAAAACATGGTATCTCCATTTGCCAAAGAAAATACTGTCTTGATCTTCTCAAGGATTCAGGTTTTATTGGCTCTAAACCAGCAAGTACACCATCTGATCCATCATTTAAGCTTTGCCAAAATGACAACCCTGCATACCATGATATTCCATCTTATAGACGACTCATTGGCAAACTAATCTACCTCAACACTACATGCCCAGATATCACGTTTATCACACAACAACTCAGTAAATATCTTTCCAAACCTTCTACTCAACATTATAATGTTGCTTGCAGAGAGTTTTGCGATACCTCAAACAATGTCCGAGCCAAGGCTTATTTTTTCCACGAAGTTCATCACTACAAGTAACATGTTTTTCAAATGCTGATTGGGCTGGTTTTATAGACACACGTAAATCTGTTTCAGGATCATGTTTTTATTTGGGCAGCTCCAAGTATACTCTTATGCGGAAATAGTGTAATGCCGACCATTTTATTCGTTAGGACTAAACTCTTCCTTAGGTTCACTGAACACTGCAGTCAATTACCTTTTGCATGGTTTCTGACATTTTCTTGCTCAACTTGAATACACACTTGAAATTAAAGGCGTGTTATGTGTCAGTCACATAGTAACATTCAAACATTTCCATATTCTTAAAACTGTTGTCGGTATCTATATTTCAATGCAAGTGTTGTGTCAGGTGTTCCATTATATGTGAGTGAATCATAGGATAACCTTGAGCCACCCAATATAGATGTAAAAACATGCTATGGATCATTGTTAGAACGACCTTGGTCTCTTTCTTACCTTCACTAGAATTAACTTATTTGTTAATTTCATGTTTTAACCTTGCTAGAAGTTACCAAACTACACGGCCATGATAGAAATGCAAGTTAATATCTTAAACTTTCCTAGTCTGTCATGTCTTAAAAGGAAACCGAAAATAAATAAAGAAAGCACAATATTGTTGAAAGGTACTCAATAAGAGAGTCAGCCATAGAATAATAACAAAGCAGTCTGAACAAAGTTCCAAAACATAGAAAAGAGCACAAGAAAACTTAAAACATATTCTGCAAACAAACGCACACAAACAGACAAAACAAATACAAAATACTTAGACAGATGGGAAGGCAGAACTGAGGAACTTTTCATCCTCACAGAAAATCTGTAAATTCTTGGACTCCATCAGAAATTCAATATCTTCATTCTTGAATTTCAACACAAAACCCAGTGTGATCAATTCAGACAGAGCCGGAACAAAATCATGATTCTCAGTCAAAACACCTTCTGATATTGTCTCACAAAAATATGTTGCATACTTCAGATCATTTCCCTGAGGCTCATTATTATGGATGAAAAACTTGGAACTTTTCTTATCCCAGCAAACCATTCTGTCATCTTTCTTCATAATGATGTCCCCGGATGACAGTGATAAACTATAGCTTACTGTGACCGGCACAATTGTCTTGAAGAAACTCAGATTCAGAAGTCCTTGAACAGCTTCATGTCTCTTGTCAGATTCCATTTTCAGGCTTGAACAAGCAAGGAAACCAAGAATGAGCTTAACTAAACCTTTCAAGTTGAAAATGTTATTACCATCAACTTGCACCATTTCAACACCATCATCATTAACAAAGGATGATTCTTCTTTGCATAGTGATTCAGAGATATTCCGAGCACCTATCTTTCGGTAGATGTCATACAACTTAGCAATGGAGGATGGCCCGAAATTCTGCTGAGGATACCACACAAAAATTTTATCCTGCTCAAAAAGCCTTTTCAGATGAAGATTGTCAGGAATAAATACATCTTCCTTATCCTGCAGAAATATTTCTTTACTGCCTGTGGTTACAGGTAGTTTGACCAGCCTCTCAGAAAGTTTCTTCTCAGTATTTGTCCCCAAGTGTTTCATGATAAGCATCCAGAATTTACAGCACTTGTCATACGACAATTCTTCAGGCAATTTCTCCCAATCATTCCAAAGATCAACATAGTTGTCAAGTGAGGGCTTAGTCCTTACTTCCAGGGAAAAGGTTAAGAAGGGAAGAATTTTCTTATCATAGATATCTTCAAGAACATAAAATTTTAAACTAAAAAGCTTATCTGGGTCATGTATAATGCATTCTTCAGAATTGACCCAACTCCCACCTTCAGTTCCATTAGAAATCCAAATTTTCTGGTCATTTTTCCTCTCTGGTTTCCAATTGTTTTCGGCCAAGAACCTACATATATTTAAAACATCATAAAAATCAGAAAGATTGTTATGGAGACCGATAAGAAAAAAGAAAATCGAGACACATAACGAGAAGTTAGGTAAATGAAATACCTATATATTTTCACAATATTGTCAGTGTTAGAAAGAGAGTCAAGGTGACTGGCAAGCAAGGCACACCCTTTCTCAAGGTCAATAATGACTCCAACTGCATTAAGTTCTTTCTGGAAAGATGCTATTTTAGGTCCATAAAAATTCTCATCAATAAAAGGCCCATCAGTTGGACTAAAGAAAGAACTCCATTTTGAATCAAACAACAAACACATCTCTGGAGGCCTATAACCAGCATGCGTCTTCAGCCAATTTCTGGACAATCTCTTCTTGAACTCATCATCAATGGAAAGCTTATGCTCGCTCAATAGACTTCTGATGCATTCCAGCAAAGAAAATACACTTTCCGGAGTAATGGTGGAGGAATTTGAAGGAAACTTAAGACACTTTGGCACAAACCTCACTCCGCGTTTAAATTCAGTTACAACACCAATGTTCTTTAGCTCTTCCTTGTACTCATGTATTCCCGTACCATACAATTTGTCGCTGTCATCAATAAATGGGAGACAAGTAATCAAAGAAATAGATTTCCACTCCGGACCATATAATATGCATTCGCCCGGGCACATATAACAACCAATCTTAGTATACAACCACTTCTGATTATGAAAAATGGTTGAAAAATCAGAAGGAAATTTATGACCCGTTCCCTTTAGCCGCTTGCAACAAGAAAGAAATGACAAGACATTTTCTTTGCTAAATGAATTTTTTGATGCGTTCAGTTTAAAGAGGGAAGCAACTTTTTCTACAGCATCTTCAAAATCAGCCACCACACCGATTTTCTTAAGCTCAGCTTTGTAAGATAAAATCTTCTCTCCATAGAATTTATTATCAATGACAGGAAGGCCACTGAATATTTCCAAAATGGAGCCCCACACCTTGTCATACAAGTAACATTCAGTCGGGATTTGGAAACCCATGTTAGTCTTCAGGCATCTTGTTCCTTTCAGTGAAGTAGTGAGTATACTTTGGTCATTCAAGAGTCTCATACAATGCATTGTCAAAAGAACAGCCTCAGCTGACAAATAGGCCAAATTTGCCGGTGATTTTAAATGTTCGATGATAATCTCATGATTTCCACTTAAGCCAACTATCACTCCTAGCAACTTGAGCTCCTCTTTGTAACTACATATTTCATAACCATAATAAGTTTGGTCGATAAAAGGTATGTCAGAGATTTGGGATGCTACTTCCCATTCAGAATCCTTCAATACAGATCCCACAGGAGACCTTACACCCTGAGATGTCTTTAGCCATGGCCCGTCTTTGATACTTTTCACAAATTTATCCAAAGGAAGAAGACTATTCCTGAGGTATCGGATGAAGTTAAGCATCAAAAGAACATGATTCTTACTTAAAGTGGAGGAAGATGCACGAGACATTAGTTCTCTTCCAATGAATTTGCATGCCTCTTCACAACTGGACATCACTCCAATCGTTTTCAACTCCTCTTCATATGTATTTATTCTATCCCCATAGAAGCTCTCATCAATCAGTGGAATGTCAACAAGAACAGAACCTTTTTGTAGAATTTTCCCCAACGGTGAGCGAATTAAGAATGATTTCGAGGGGGGCCTGTATCCATTGACGGTAACTTTAAGCCAGCTGCCATCTTTTATACAATTCAAAAACCTTTCTGGTAGGCTCACTCCCTTGTACTTCATATTCTGAATCCATTCCAGAAGCAAATAGGCATTCTCTTTGGTAAGTGGTGTATTAACTGCTGAAAATCCAGCATTTGGAGGAGATATATGAGGTATGTCAGAGGCTCCAACATGAGTTCTGAGGAAATTAATAAGCTTTGCAGAATCTGTATATTGACCTGCATAAGATGATGAATTCAGGTACTCCTTTCCAAGCTCAACATAGTTTTCATTCCTCCAAGGATTAGAAACGATTAAGTCAGCCCATTTGCTCACATTTGCAGGCACAAGAACCCCTTGTCCTATCTCGGTGACAGCCCCATAACTATCAACAAGTGGCATAGAATTACATAAAGCATCAACCTCCCGCTTTGACAAATACGACTTTGACAATGAGTGATACAAAAAATGAGCATATACTATGACATGTTTTCTGCTTTTTTTAACAGAACTGCAGAGGACATTTGCGAAAGAGTACACGCTCAAATTAGCAACATTTACTTCATCTACAAGCCATTCCATCAAAGTCTGTCTCTGGGACAAACGTGACATGGCTTCTTGTGTCCGTTCCGGCATAAAAAAACGGTTTGCTGCACACGCGAATTCCTTGTTCCAATTGATCAGCCAAGAGCAAGCATTAGACTGACTTGAGTCTGTTATTACTACTCGCTTGGCACCTGCATGGCTTTGTGTACATTCATGAAGACTGAAAGAGGATGAAGTTCCATCCAAGGCCACATACTTAATCAAAGGAATACTATAAATGTTTGTCCCCTTAAATATTGAAGACCAATTTTTAGCAACAAACAATAAAAGCTGTAGATAGAGATCTTCCGATACTCCATCCACAAGATTAGAACTTTGGATGCACTTTGCGTACCAATCGGCATTAACTGGTTCCACCCCTAAAAAGCTGAGTATTTGATCATACTCACTTGTATCAAATGAAGAACTCAAGACCTTCCTCCCATCATGAGAAGAGAGGTTAAGCAAGTAGACTCCTTCATTCCTGGCTTTAGTTAAAATATTCCAGAACTCAGGCAGTAGCCGGCTAACTTCACCAGGCTTATAGAAGTGCTTCTGCTCTGTGTATGTCTCAATAGGAACAATATTTTCTTCAACCAGTTTTGCTTTTATTTTGTCCCTCACATTGTTAAACTTCTCAAATGCAGAACTGTCAATGGGAAGGAACTTGAAATTACGAGCCAAACTAGATACTGGTGCTTGACCAGATCCTAGGACAAGTGTTTTGAATGCGTCCATAAAGGCAGATGGAACACATTCAAGTATCCCTTGGTTCCATTTATTATCCAAGAGAATTGTCTCCCTTGATGAGGCAAGGACAAAATCTGCTTGTATAATGAAAGGAAAATTTGTAACCATCTCTGTAGGGAGAAATGCATAGACCCCCGGCGAGCTTTTGCTTGTATGAAGCCTCTCATCAAATGGAAAGGCTAATGTCACAACCCACTCTTCCAAATCTGTTCTCCTTTCCACCACATTTTCTGACCTGACAGGAAACCTTTGTGTCCACATGTAGTAGGAGCATTCCTTCTCAGCATTCCTATTTTCTCCTGCAGAGAGATGGAGTGTGTAGGACTCGGCATTCATGTTTTTTCTAGTCACAAAGTCAATCTCACTTGAAATGGATACAGAAGTTACAGTGTTCTGTGTGGGGTTCTTGTTTACTTCTCTCACAGAAAGGTGCCTGATTTTTTTCAGAAACAAAAGAACTTCCGGATGAACTTTTGAGAGTTGTTGTTTAACAGGATCGACCTTATCCAGCTTCAAAGGCAAAACAATTGTAGTTGTTGGAAGAGAATCTTTACCGTATATCTTTTTTATGTCAGTCAGGTTTGGCTTCTCCTCAACCCATTCAGGAACAACATAACCAAGACTGCAATGTGGACAAGGCTTCTCATTGAACCTTATCTGATATCCGTTGCTAAAAATATAAGGTTGTGCAGTAACCAAAAACACACTCTTGAAACCAATCCCTGAAATTGAATCCATATGAGCGATTATGTCAAAGATTTTGCATTACCTTCTTCAATTTTTCCACACTCAAGTAGATATCTATAGTCAAGCATAACTTTTATAGTATTACTTTATTAACAAGTATTTTCAAAAGAGATAAAAGATGTCTATAAAAAAAGTGAACATGCTTAATTTTATAAATAAAATGACTTTGCATCAATAAGTACATAACAGTTTGAGAAATATTTTAATATAAGAATGTGATATACCTTTCTCTCCAATGTAACCACTGCTCCTATTGCCTTTCTTTGTCGATCGTCCAACACTGCAAATGGACTCTATGTTTTTCGGAGAAAAACCCTTTTCATTATTGAAAATAAGCAAGGTGGCTGGAGCACCCGTATCAGTAATGTCATCAGAAGTTATGACAAACTCCAGTGTTGGTTTCACTTCTTCCATATAGTGGTTATCTTCAGCGTTCTGTTCAAAATAGAAACAAGAAACACTTTAATCTTTTAAAATAAGATCCCTCGAATAATATATTATTGCATGATTGATTCTATAGTAGTGATATAAATAAATTGAGAAAATCAAAATCACTCATTTGCATGCATACTTAATTTGAATTCACTGTATAAAAAATGAATGAATAAACAACTTTCACTAAAAACAAGCATGAAAAAAGTTGACATTGTTCTTGAATATGCATGATTATAGGAAACAAAAGAGGTGAAACGAGATGAAAAAGGTAAATGTACTTGGATGAGCTCCATGAGGAAATGAACATCTTTTGCATAAAGCTCCGCAGAGAGATTCTTGACAGCATGGTGAAGATCTTCTGTCAAAGGATTAGCGTTTCCGCCAATAGAGAACTTTGTTCTTCGTATTTGTTCAATGTGCTCTTTTGGTGAAGCCATGATGAAGAAGAACAAAGTGAAAAACGAAATATTTGATGAAGAGAAGAAACAAGTAGAGAAGTAGTAAGTGGAGAAGTAAAGTTAAATAAGTTTTTCTTGAAAAGAGAAGTTGCAAAGTTTTTCTTACAGAAAAAGCTATAAAGTTGGTTATTTATTGCTTATTGGATAAGTAACCGGTCCTTCTTAAAAATGAATACATTTGAAGAAAAAAAATTCATTCTACGTATAAATATTTTTTAAATGAATAGATAAAATCTTACTGCTTAGATTTTTAGGAATATAAAATTACAAATAATATATATAATCATGGAGAGAGTATATGGTAATGTTATTTATACAGTATTTATTGGAATAATGAAATAATGAATTAATTAGTGTAGTAAGTTAAAGAAAGGGTGGTATGGTATTACTACTACTCTACTAGTGTGCGAATGTCCTTTGACATTTCCAACAATTTGGCTTTAGTTTCCAATGGGTCAAGTCAACTAAACACCATTCATACGGCGTTCCGTTGCCAAATGTCTCTGTAAAATATGGTTGAGTTCCCATATATTCTCATTATTAGGCCATGTGTCTTTTTAATAGTATAACTATTAATATATATTTTATGAATAACTATGAGTACTTTCATTTTTTTTCTTCTTTCAAAAATAAATTAATAAGGGATTTTAACACTTTGACTATATATAAATATTTGTTAAAGGACCTTATATTGAAGGACAAAATAAATTGTAAAAGAGTTTATAATTGTTAACAAGAGAGAAGGGTATAAATTTATAGAATAAGGATTATATTATAGTACAAGACTATAACATATATATATATATATATATATATATATATATATATATATATATATATATATATATATATATATATATATATATATATATATATATATATATAAAGGAAAAAGGTGTAACTTATTTTTATTTTAATTATATTTTTTTTGTTTTTTATTTTAAAATTCAACTTCTTTTTTATTAACTTCGTTTTTATTAACTGTTATATGGTAGTTTGCACAACTATTTCATTCAATGTTTTTTATATAAAAATAAATAAAACACAAAAAAATGTGATTATATTTTTAAACGTTTGAACATTAAAAAAGGAGACGAGTGTCCGTCTGAACGCTAGTACTAAATAATAGAAAAAACTAAATTGCACTTACTAAAATATAATATTATATACTAATATAATAATAATATTATCTAATATCTCTCTTCAATCTCGTAATCCATTAACAGAAAGGATCGAGAGTTTATCAATTAAAGAACAGAAATATGATATAATAATATAATAGTAATATTTGTCATGGCGTGAAAAATAGCAGAGCACATTGCACGCTCGATGATACAATAGAGTCGCCATCGAACTTTATTTATTCCAAAAAGAAAGAGAAACAGGTAAGGGAGTCAAAGAAGGAGGTCTCTAGAATTATAGATCCATTTTAAGATACCACTGCCTGAGACGAATGACTTGTCAGACAATGATGCTCATAAAAGGATCTACTCTAGATGCGGCGTCTCGTGTTAACCCTAATCGATGAATAACACCAAGTAGGTCAACACGACTCTGGCCACATATTATCCTGTGTGTATACTTAAGCTTAATTATAGAGTTTTTTTTCTCGTGTTACATCATCCCAACACAACAATTAGGGGTGGCAAATGTAACACCCCAATTTTTTGGAATATTTATTTAATTTATTTAAATATGAATATTCGCATTTTCAGTGATTTTTGGTAGTTGGTGTGAATATTGGAAATTATGGATTTTAAGTTATTTATTTAAATAATAGTATATGATATGAATATATTGGTATTATTATTAATTTAAATAAATATAAGTGAATTAAGGGCAAAATGGACAATTGAGGAGGAGTTAGTGAGGGTGAAGTTGGAAAGCCCAATTTTAAGGCTCAAGGTTAGGTTTAAACAAAAAGAAATTTTAATGGGATTATGATTCATTCTTGTTAGATCGTGAAAATTGAAGAAATAGAGGCCAGAGCTCTGAGGAAGAGGATTGAGGCAAATGCTTCGCAAGGTCTCCAGGAATTAAGGAGAAAGACTTAGAGTCGGCAATTAAGGTATGAAGAGTATTGTCTTCATTGTTTTCAATATGTGATTCAATATATTTAAAGCTGATTGAAGGGTTTAAGGGGTTTGAGGCTTACAATATTCGATGAGTTGTAATTTTCTAAGAGTTTGGGTTTTTACGGAATCGAAATCGGAGGTTCGGAAGGCCTTCAATGATGAAAAACGCGGAAAATTCGGCATGTCCGTCACGACTGTTCATGTTTTCGGCCGAAATTATTTTGGAAGTAACTTTTGATCTGTAAGTCCGTTTTGATCCCCGTTCTAAGTGTTGGAAAAATAATGAACGTGACTATAATATAGTATAGATAAGAGAATTGGTTGCCTAATGTTTATATATCTAATATGTTTGAGAAGTCAATTGTGTATATGTTCTATTAATAATTGTTGCACTATTTGCTGCCGGTTGTGAAATTACTGGTGGATAATTTATCGAATACTTATATGTATGCTTGTATGGTGCTATTTTGATGCTTTGATGTTGTGATTTTCTTGATGGATTACTAGGGGTATGACTGTGATTCCTATGTGATTAATACATGATTGTATGATGATTCCTATGAGTAATGTGATGATTTATGATGTTGACTTCATGAGTTTTGATGACTATATGATGACATGATTATTAATGATGACTTTGATGAATGATGATGCACGTAATGAGATTATTATGAATATGATATTGACGTGTGCATCATGCATTCATATGCATCCGGACTTCGGTTCAGGATCTTGATTTTTGTGGCTTCAGTCCTATTGTGCGGATGTGAGGTATTTTGTTGTGCTTCGATTCTCGAGTAGAATCGATCCTACTATTGTGGATCTATGGAGGGTTGTTGGCCCAGTGTCCATCGAATTTTGTTGATTGGTACCACATGCGTGAGTCTTGTTGCATTTGCATTTATGTGACAATTTGGTGTAATTTATAATGTTGTGACCTTTGATGTTCCTTAATGATTATGATGATGTTGAATATGAAAATGATGTTGTTTTATATATTGATTCCTATATTGATTATTATGAATCATTTTACTCACCCTGTCTGTTTGAATGTTGCCTCCACGTGGGTAACATGCAGATGACCAGGTTTAGTCGTGGATGTCGTCGAGGACTTTTTGAAGTTTTGGGTCATTGGTCATTGTGGTTGACTTAGAGGGTCTTGCTCTGATAGTGTAACATCAGGTTGGGGTCTTTTGAGTCAAACTATATTTTATTGAGTTTTGTTATGTTAATTTTCTTGCGGTGAAAGGAAAACTTTGGATTTGCTTTTTGAGTTCCGTTGCCATTTGAACACTTTTGAGTAATTTTGAGAAAACTTGTTGCTTACGGAGCATTGACCTTGATTTAAATTTATTGATAAATGTACGCCCTTTGAGGTGATTTTATTGCGTTCCAATATTTTACTCTGATAAATTCGATTATTTTGCCATAATATTCGTGGGGTAGAAGATGGTGTTACATTAGTGGTATCAGAGCAGGTCGGTCCGTCCGGCCAAGTTGTGTAATGTTATTTGTTCCCTAGTATGTGACATGTGTGTGAAAACACTGAAGGTACACGTTTGTTTTCTAACCTTTGTCTGCAGAAGTGAGAATGAAATAAGTGGGGGAGAAGCTTGTGCTTCTCCAGGATGCTTCAAGTGTGGAGTGGTGGCTCAGTGTGTCGATGAACGCTCTTATAGTTTGGTAAAGATGGTTTATGGACCATCGTGATTTTAGGCTGTCTATTGACAAATTGAGGAACTGATCACCCTTAATCTCTTGTTGATAGTAGACGGAGTCATGTTGGATGGGATAGACGTGTCTTGCAAGCTTAGATGGCGTGTGCAGTGAATTGTTTTGAGTTAAGTTAAGTGCTTACAAATTGTTTTGGTGAGTCGGTTCAGGATGGTGCTGAGATGTTTATTTTGATTGAAACTTTGAGTTTTAATAAAGTGGGGAAGTTGGTGGTGTGCCAATTATTTGTGATTATCCGGAAGTTTTTCGTGATGGGATAAGTGATTTACCACCGGAACGTGAAATGGAGGTTACGATCAACTTAGTTCCTGGAACTAGTTTGGTAATGATGACTCCATATCGTATGTCCACACCGAAATCGAAGAAGTTGAAGAATCAACTTGAAATCTGCTTGAGGAGAGGTTCTTTTGTCCGAGTGTGTCACCGTGGGGGTGCACCAATTTTGTTAGTTAAGAAGAAAGAAGGTTCTATGAGGCTTTGTGTGGATTATAGAACAAGGTGACTATCAAGAATAAGTGTGCACTTCCAAGGATTAATGATTTGATGGATCAGTTGGTTGTTGCAAGTATGTTCAGTAAGATAGATTTGAGATCTGGGTATCATCAGATTTATGTGAAGGCGGAAGATATTCAGAAGACTGCTTTTAAAATAAGGTATAGACATTGTGAGTATTTTGTGATGCCATTTGGTCTGACTAATGCACCATGTGTATTTATGGAGTATATGAACATGATTTCCCATCCTTATTTGGACAATTTTGTGGTTGTGTTCATTGATGATATTTTGATATATTCGAAGAGTGAAGAGGATCATGATGAGCATCTGAAAATTGTCTTATCAGCGTTGAAAGAGAAGCAGTTGTATGCAAAACTGTCAAAGTGTGGGTTTTTGTTGAAGGAAGTGAGTTTCCTTGGTCATGTGATCTCGAGTAGAGTTATTGCGGTTGATATGTCGAAGGTTGAAGTTGTATCGCAATGGGAAGCCCCAAAATCTATTTTCGAGATTAGAAGTTTTCTTGGGTTGGTAGGTTATTATCGAAAATTCATTGAAGGATTTTTCCAAGTTATCTTTTCCATTGACGCGGTAGACTAGGAAGGTTTAAGCTTTTTTTTGGATGCAAAGTGTGAAGAAAGTCTCAAGAGATTTTGAGAAGGCTGACAGTAGCCCATG